TATACGTATATACATATATATATACGTATATATATATATATATATTTATCTATCAATATATTATATATATGTATATATATATAAATATATATATACATACATATATGGATGTTAATATATATATGTATGTGTGTATATATTTATATACATATATATAAAATATTGATTTATATATAAATATATATATACATTCATGTATGATATATATAAATATATCCATATATATATATACATATACAAAAATATAAATATAGATAAAGATATAAAATACATGTACAATAAATATATTTTACTTTATTATCGGAATTGCATCACAAGCGCAAGTATGTAACACCTTGAGCGCTTTCTGTACTTTCAGCAAATTGCACCACACTTCCGGAGCGTGAGATTACAATCAAAAGTATCAGTAGTAAATTCAAGGATACCCATCCTCTCAAATAGCCTTTACACTGATACGAAGAGCAGGAGGTGTGGATTGGTATTCTCATACTATTAGCAAACACGGCAACGGGTTAGAATATACCGCCTTCTGGCATATCTTAGCACTGCCGCCATCGGCACGGCATCGCACCATCCGATAGACGCACTCGGCACTGTAGTCCCATCGCCATTACTGTGCGGATTTCGCTGTCCTGTGTAATATACCGCACGTGCGACTCTGCACTAAAACAATCGTATTACACAGAGGGCCTTATGCATTCACACACTATCTCCGCAGCCTACCGTGCTCTGTGATCATCGACATCGTGTACTTTTCTATCCGTTCCTCTCCACTCACCCTCACATTAGCTACCACCAGCATCCGCTACCATGCCACCCTTGCTCCCGACTTTCGAACTAGGACCGCTTTTCCCCACAGTACTCACCCTTTCAATAACCTTCGCCTCCTTCGCCCTCTGGCGCTTCTCCTTCACGTGTGTGATCTTCTTCTTCATATGGTGAAATATCCGTCTCAAATACGATTCCTCGCCACTACCACTACTGGAATCTGAACTCGTAGTGTTCCTGGCCTGGACTGTACCGTTGTGTTGAACTGGGTCTGGTTTACTACTTTCAGCCACGGCAGCAGCCGCACGCTGCTCGTGTAAGATCTTCAGAGAGGCATGCTCAACACGCAACGACGCCACCATCGACCGCAGGCTGGACACAGAGCTATCCCCTGGCAGCGGCTCATTCCGCTCCTTCCCACTTACATATTCCTCACTCGCAATAACCCCTTCATCCTGGGCCAACTTTGAGGGTGCGACTTCCGGTGCAATCGAATCTATGGCCGATGCATTTCCTTCGGCGCCTCCTTCCCTCGAACCGCGCTGCCCGGACCCCTGCAGTGTCTCCACACCGTCTGACTTGTTCCCTCCACTCTGGGTATCTACTGTGCTACTTGTGCTTGCTTGCGATACACCACCACTACCCCGATACGGCGTAGTGTTGCTGGCCATCTGCTTCTCAGCCTTGGCCTCCGCCTTCATCGCCCGCTGAGCCGCCCACCTGGCTCTGCCACGTGCGATCTTGCGCTTCAGCTGGTCTCGCCGTCGCTCCAGTGTTTTTTCCGTACCGCTGTCAGTGTTGCTGCAGAAGCTACCTGTCTCGATTTGCACCTGTTCCGTGGCCTGCAGTTCACTCACATCCTCGCAGAACCGTGCCTGTGACGCCAGGAGCTTGTTGTGTTCCGTCCGCAACGAGTCCACCATGGCTCCGATTTCGGCTACATCCTGAGTCTGAGGGGAGGGTGTGCCTGCGGTGCTATTCTCATACGCCATCAGATCAAGGCGCTCAAACGGCGGCGACGAGTCTCTCAGATTGGTCTCGGTCTCCGCATCCATCACCGGCACATCCTCCAGGCCACTCATCACATGCACGAGCATTTCAGACGGACTAATCTTGCTGTCGCTGGCCACGCCCTTGAGGTCGCCAGTCACAGCCTCCACGTTCTCCTTAACGTGCCCTTGCACAGGCGAATCCCTCTTGTCCTTATCACTCCGTCCCGTTACCCCATTCTGAGTGTTCGCAGCTGTATCCGTCTGCTGTTCGGTGCTGCGTGTTTCTTTGGTCTTCCCATTGCGCTGGTCAGTGCCATGGTGCTTCTGTGCCGACACCGCCCCAGCCACTATAGTGGCACCCACACCCACTGCGACTCCCTCCGCTCGATGCGACACCTCATCTGCCTCCCTATCCTCACTGTGATGGTCCACACCCTTACGCGCAGGTATCGACTGCCTACCACCATTCGATCCCATAAGCCGCGCTTTCGCTCCCAGCATCAACCGTTTCAACTTCTGTGCCAGCTCAGTCAAGCGCGAGGCTTCGTCTCCGTTATCACCACAGCTGTTCATCGCTTCCAAGTACTCATCCTCCATCTGCTCATACTCGTCGAGTGTCACCTGGATAGCCCGGTACTCAACCTGCAGCTTCGCGATAGCCACACGCAATACCTCTACGTCCACCCCGTCCATTTTGGTAGGATTGGGACACATATCGCCATCGCTCTTCGTCTGCGATCCGGACGGTGACGCAGAGACCGCAATGTTCTTCTCCGCATCCACCACTTCTTCTGTTGAATGGCCGGCTTCACCCTCTGCGCTTAACTCTACAGAAACGTCTGCACTACCATTTATATCGGACACATCAGAATCAACCACTCTATCATCAGCAACTTCATTGCCGGTACCATCTGGCACATCAGAGACATCCACGTAGTCATCAGCAGGAATGGAGGCGGCCGCAGCCGTCTTCACGGCCCCCACCACAACCACACCGGCAGGCTTATACTTGTGTTCGCCTTGCACTGAATCCGGACTGTACCGTTCCAACGGCACATTGATTTCTCCGCGGTTGAGCTTCACTTCCAGATCAGCCTTCCTCCCGTCCACCGCACTCACAGCAACCACCTTACCATCGCTAAGCTGTATTTTCTCTTCACCTTTGACTGCGTCAGCGTGCGTGTCTGCACCGGCACTCCCCAGGCTTGAGCTCTTACTCGCTTTGGGGGTACTATCCGTACGATGCACGCCAGACTCGACATGAGTGATCTCGCCTTCCTTGCTCATCTTTCTGGACATGCGAGATGCTGACAGCTTAGCCTTCCCACGTGCCACCTTCCGCCTCAGCCGTGCTACCAAGCTCCGTCCCTCGGCATAGCTGAGCTCATCACTGCTGCTGTCGCGGCTGCTACTGCTGCTTAGATCGCTGGTGTAGTCTTTTTGCACGTTCAAGTCCTCCCGTCGGGCCGCCTGTATGGCTGCGTGTTCGGCACGCAACGCTACAATCTCGGAGCGGTATTGTCTTACCCGCACGTTGTGTCTGTGTTCTTTCATACGGATGTACTCGGCATCCTTCCCCGTCATGTCTTCGTCATCTGAGCTGTCAGAAGAGGATGAGCTGTCCGTCAACGCATCCGAGGTGCGTTTCACGATCTTATTGCTTGCACGGTGTGTGCTCATAGTGCTGTTCGAGGTCGCACGATCACTTCGAATACTGTGGTCTGATTTGTGAGACGTGGCATCCGAGTCACTCGCTGTACCCGCACCGTCGTTGTTTGTAACGGCGCCTGTGCTGCGCCTGTGTACAATATCCCCCTGACCACACACCTCGTCTTTTATCTCTCCTGCGTCATCCACCGACTCCGCCTGTGCACTATTGTCACGACCACTGTGCCCAACGTTTGGCTGTGCCTGAGGAGCCTCGTCACTCGCGTTGTTCGCAGTAGCTGTAACTACAGCCGCCCCGCCACCCCCTGCCGCAACTCCTTTGCCCAGATTGTGTTGCATAACCTCTGGCGGGACATCGTCGTGCCCCAATGCCGCACTCACATCGTCGCCTCCAACTTCATTTGGTTGTGATTCTGCGGATAGGAGAGTGTTAGCCGCCTTTGCTTCCACGCTCGATTCTTCACCGTGTGCATTGGCCACTTTCTTTGTTGTTTTTGTGGTCTTTGCTGTCTTGGCCTTTTTTGTTTTATTCTCAGCCGATTTCTTGTCATCTACACTCTCCTGATCAGAATCCGAGTCGCTATCAGAGTCATTGGTCTCGCTTGAGTCACCACTACTACTACTACTACTTGTAGCGCCGCCGCTGTTGCTCTCATCAGCCGAAGACTCCGACTTTGGCCTACCCACTTCTGCGGGTAGAACAGTGTCAGCTGCACTGGCTTTCACGCTCGATGGTTCAATATTTGCGTTTTTCTTTTTCTTTGCTGTTTTGAATTTCTCTGCAGTATTGGTTTTTTCTGCTGTTCCTGTTTTGGGTTTCTCTCCTGTTTTGGTTTTCTTTGCTTTCTTGCCAGACGATTTCTTGACACCCACACTCTCATGTTCAGAGTCAGAGTCGCTACTTTCGTCGCCTCCGCTACTGGACGAGGCCTGTAACTTCAACTTATCCACAGATGACCTGTTGTTCGCGATAGGATACTCTACGGGGCGATCGTTGCCATCATCGCTGTGAGTGTCTACAACACATAGATCGTCTTCCCGGTCAGCACTGGCAGGGCCATGCCCCTGGCTCACCATTGTTGTCCCAATCACCCCAACAGTTAACCCAACAATCACCGCACCAGCTAAGACTGGTTTGCCATCATTCGGTGCATCCCTCTTCTCCGTAGGCTCTTCCTGAGCTTCCACGACCGGTCCATCCGTATTAGTTTCCTCCCCCACCCGTGCTACCACAGGTTCCACTTCAGTGTGGTTACTGGGTTCATTAGTGTCCGACTGTGCAATTGGCGATGACTGATGCTTGGGTCCATCCGTACTAGTCTTCTCCCCCAACCGTGCTACCACAGGTTCCACTTCAGTGTGGTTATT